GGGTGGCTCAGTCATTAAGTGTCTGCCTTCAGCTCAGGTCATGATCCAGCAAGCCTGCTTCTCCCTCTCCGCTCCCCCTGCTTGTGTTCCTTCTCTCGCTGTGTTTCTCTCTGTCAAATAAATAAATAAAATCTTTAAGTAAAATAAAACTTGATGCTTTTTATGCAAAGCTTAAAATTTCATACCAGTAAATTTTCACATTGGGTATGTTGAATTTGAGCATTCCTTTAGGAAATGGTTATTGTGTTAAATTTCAAATGATCTGAATAATTTTTTAGTTGCTCAGTGGACTGCTGCTTTGACTTGGTAGAAAGCTTGTTCTAGCCTTGCTGGGTATGCCTAAATGTCTCCTGGAAAACAAGCTCTGTACTTGGGACTGCTTCTTGAAATCAAGTAAAACAGTGTGATTCCCATCTATTTCCTCCACTTGGATTGAATGGGATTTATTAAGAAAGGTAGCAGTGTAATTCTTGGATAACTTAGTTGTAGCATATCTTTGATAATTTTTTTTTACCATTCAAAGCTTTCCAAATTATATCTGAAAATGTTATTTTCCAATTATTACCTCAGATATTCAAGAACCCTGCACAGTACATTATAGAAAGGGAAAAGAAAATTACATATTTTAAGAATTACTGCGTGCTTGGTATTTGCAAAACACCTATATTTAAATAATCCTCGTGGCATTTTTGTGGGTGGCATTATCTCAGTTTTAAACACCTGTGAAAATAGAGTGGACGTCACTGGCCTTGAAGATAGGCAGCTTGTTAAGTGGCAGAGGTGGGATTTTGAAATAAAAGTTACGTTTTTAAAATCCAGCAAGTGGGACGCCTGAGTGGCTCAGTCAGTTAGGCGTCTGCCTTCACCTCGGGTCATGATCCCAGAGTCCTGGGATCGAGTCCCACATCGGGCTCCCTGCTCAGCTGGGAGAGCCTGCTTCTCTGCCTGCCGCTTCCCCCTGCTTGTGCTCTCCCTCTCTCTCTCATAAATACATACATACATACATAAAAAATCCAGAAAGTGTTTTTAATTGCTCCATACCTATTTCTTGCTCTTAATCTTTCAATCCTAGCATACTGAAGAAAGGTATCAATTTTTATGTGGTGGGAGAGAGATGTCTGTTAATACCAGAATAGAGCAGGGTATGCTATGCTGAGACCTGACATACCTGCTCAGCAGTCCTGGAAATCTTGAAGTGTGGAAAACTTGACAGAGGTAAAAGAAATCTAGAAACCAAGGGATGGAAAGGTGAGAATTATATAAGAGGAGATAGGGATGGCAGGCAGCTTGAGGCTTTGTCAGTGGGATATTCTGCAAGATGATGATGATGATTAGTTCTGTGGTCAGATACACAAAAGTACTGTGTTTTGTTTGGCAGAGAGGTTACACTTCTCCCTTTTCCATTTACCTTAAAGTTATTTTGTTTAAAGGGATAGTTCTTTAGTAATCCACAGAATACTTTTGTTTAGAATAGTTTATTTCCAGACTTTTGCCAGATAGTTTTGATTTGTCTATAGATGGAGGGTTATTGGGATACATATAGATAGAAGGATGTTGAGCATAAAACAACAAACACGATATAATTTTAAGATATTTTAACTCAAATGATCGCCAAATGTTGAAGGACTGTAAAGCAAGAGAGCAGTCAGTGCTATATATGTATCTAAAATTTTATTGTGAGAAAATACATATAACCTTAAATTATCATTTTAACCATTTTTAAGTGTACATACAATTCAGTGACCATTAAGTTACATTCACCATCACCATTCATCTTCAGAACTTTTTTTTTAATCTTCCCAAGCTGAAACTGCACCTGTTATTAACTCCCCAATCTTCTCTCCCCGTAACCTCTGGTAACCACCTTTCTACTTTCTGGATTAGTGTAGGCACCTCATATAAGTGTAATCATAGAATATTTGTCTCTGTGACTGGCTTATTTTACTTAGCATAGTGTCCTCAAGGTTCATCCATGTTGTAGCATGTGTTAGAATTTCCTTCCTTTTTAACACTAGAGAATATCTCATTGTGTGTGCATACCACATTTTGTTTATTCATTCTTTTGTCCTTGGATTGCTTCCTGGAAAGGCTTTTTAAAGAGAGAGAGAGTATTGGTGTAGTGGACAAGGTAATAGAATTTCTAGACTTGTTAACTTTCTACTTGTGCTTTGGTCAAGTTGCTTTTTAGATGCTTGGTTTTTAATTTTGGGAAAATACCACATTCTGTGTAAACAGTGAAGATTTACCTAAAAAAAAAAACAAAACCGACTTTAATTTTTGGTGTACCTCAGGATTTGTCCTCTCTCCTAGACTTTCCCCACACTTGGGAATATATCATGCTACTTCCTACCATCCCATAACATTGTGACCCACTTCCTCTCAGTAGGTGGTAGCCAGGTGAAGGTTGTGTTTATGGGAGGCTGGGGGGCTCTGAGGTTATACTAATGAGTCCATCTCCTTTGACCCTTTTGTGAATAACTGGCTCTATGTTCAAGATCCCCAAGTTTTGCTTCAATTCAGACTTGGAGAGTGAACTGTCCAGTGGATATTTTCACTTCTGTTTCAGTATTCAGAACTAGTCCTCACTGACATCACTACTACCTGCCACCATCCCCCTTGAAAAGAAGTGGAAAGGAAAGAAAACCTGGAGTCCAGGATTGTATTGTATTGTATCTCATGCTGAGAAGAGGGCATGCAGGGTGAACAGCAAGAAGCAGTTACTCGATTTGTCTGTTAGTAGAGCATTGATGATCTACGATTCAGACCTTCTCCCCCTTCTCTCCCCACCAAATGTACATATTCACAAAGCTTTGCATGTAGTTTTAGGGGAGTTATCTTCAAATCCATCCATAGTCCTCAGCTACGACCCACTGACTTAAAACAATTTTGGTGGCTTAGACCCAGCCAGATGATGAGGGGAAAATGGAAGAGGTGAAAGGGGAAGCAGAGACATTCTTCTTAAGATTTTTGGGAAAAGGGGGCGCCTGGGTGGCTCAGTCGGTTAAGCGTCTGCCTTTGGCTCAGGTCATGATCCCAGAGTCCTGGGATCAAGTCTTGCATCGGGCTCCCTGCTCTGTGGGGAGCCTCCTTCTCCCTCTCCTCCCCACTTGTGCTCTCTCTCTCACTATCTCTGTCTCTCTCTCTCAAATAAATAAAATTTAAAAAGATTTTTGGGAAAAGGGAAGGGCAGAGATTGGTGGTTTTTCAGTAAGGAAGACTCAAGCATATTTATAGACAAATAACAAGGCATCCAGGAAAAGAGCGAGGGGATCATCCTCTGGGGACAGTATACACAAGTGGATCATGAACCCAGGTTGGGAAACAAAGGGAAGAAATTGGAACAGATTTGAAGTGAAGAATCAAGTTGAATTGATTAGCTGATAATTTTGAGTAGCAAGAAAAGAAAGGCACTCATAATTTGCCAGCAGACCCAAAATGACTAAAGAAAATTATTGGCGTTTCTCCAGGTTTTTAAAATTGTTTACTTCACGTGAGTGTTTTTGTAATGTAGGGTGTATGAAAATGGAAAACAAAAGTGAAAGGCTGCTCATTCATGTTCTCTTTTGTATTTTCACTTTATGTATTAAACATTTTTCTATGTTTTTAGCCTCACCAGTATTTGATATTATCGGTCTTAAACTTTGTTGTTACACAAATTTGATAAATGAAACAAAATCTTGTTAGGGACCTATCTCTGGGTTAAGTGATTATTTATTTTTAAAGGTTTATTTTAGAGGTGCCTGGGTGGCTCAGTCAGTTAAGTGTCTGACTTCAGCTCAGGTCGTGATCTCAGGGTTGTGGAATCAAGCCCCTCAACCCCAAGATCATGACCTAAGCCAAAATCAAGAGTCAGACGCTTAACTGACTGAGCCACCCAGGTGCCCCAAGTGATTATATTTAAATTGGAGGCAAACATGGACTGTTCTGGACTGAATGGAAAGTATGGTCGCCTTATAATGAAATACCTATAACTCATCAGCTAAGGCTCTCAATCTCATGGCACAATTCTCAATCACCAGGGGAGAATTTATGGAAAGTACTGATGCCTAGGCTTCACTCTCAAATACAGTAATTTATTCAATCTGGAGAGGTGCGCACATCATTGTTTTCCAAAGCATCTCAGCTGATTTTCGTATGCAGCTAAGGATGAGAGCCATTGGTCTAGTGAATATATAGAATTGAGGCTTTGCTGACATTCCCCTGTACACCTTTGCTGGTGAGGTAACAAAGAATTCCATTGTTAAACAGTTGTGGTCTCTAGCCCTGTCATGCCTCTGGGAATGCCTGTGACCAAAACCTTGCCAAAAGTGGAGTCAGCGTCACTTGACCGACTGGGTTGTTTAGGAATAGTAAGTAGTACATAGTTTGAACTTTTTCCAAAGAAAAATTCCCCCAAAGTTTTAAAGTTTCTGTTAAAACCTGTTATAAGCTTGTTCAAAAACCATTTATAATGCCCTAGTACCAGTGATAAACGTTAGTTGTGCAGTCTTTCCTGGAATGTTTTTAAAAAACATTTTATCTCGTTTATGTCTTGAACATACATATTTTTACAGTGTATTGAAGGTATTAGCAAATCGGAAGACAGTTTTTGCCATTCCATGATTGAATCAAAATGGCAACTAAATACCTTGATAATGTCTTTGGAATCCCAAAAGAAAGCTGAAACATAAAAGGCTGTGGTTTTGTACAAGCTGATCTACAGTTTTCAGTTTAAGTTAAATATGGTATTAATGAGACTTTAGCTTTTCACCTTATCCTCTCATTATATAGCCACCTTCTCTTGACTAGATTCACTGGTAATACTAAGATTGAACAGTTCCTTAATTCATGATTTTTAAATCTAAAACAAATGTACTTTTTTTTCTTGTAGGTTATGCAATGGTCTCTGCAAGATGGTTTATTCTTGAATTGGAGCTTTTTAAGACTGACAAATGCTGGTACTTCATCTTCTATAAGTGGACTATAATTTCTTTTCTCAAGACAACTACATAAGCAGACAAAATTGCAAAGATCTGCCCTGTGTCGAGTATGACAGCCACGACTCGTGGCTCTCCAGTAGGAGGGAATGACAGCCAGGGCCAGGCTCCTGATGGACAGTCTCAGCCCCCCCTCCAACAGAATCAGGTACGATGTTTAAGATACTAGTTAAAGCTACACTGGTATGTCTACTATGAGATACTAAATAATGGAGCATGTTCTGGGTGCCTGGGTGGCTCAGTCAGTTAAGTGTCTGCTTTGGGCTCAGCTTATGATCACAGAGTCCACGGGATCAAGCCCCGCGTCATGGGGGAGCCTGCTTCTCCCTCTCCCTCTGCCTGCCACTCCTCCTGCTTGTGCCCCTTCCCCTCCCTCGCTCTCTGTCTCTCAAATAAATAAATAAAATGGAGCATGTTCTGAATAATTTGAGAAGTAACCATAAAACTGTTAGGCCTATATTTACATATCTTTAACAGTAATGATAAGAAAGCTCAAGCACTATAGATGGTGATGCTTGAGTATGTAGCCCCTCTTTTGCTGGTGTCTTACACGGTCAGCTATCAAATGAAATATTTAATCCCTTTGTCAATTCCAGAGCAAAACATTAAATCATTCACTGTAGCCTGTGGTAAAGAGCATGGACTCAGGTCATGTTTGTGTTCAAATTTGAGCTTTTCACCATACTAGTCTAAATGGGTAAATTAACCTCTGAGCCTCAGTTTTTCATCTGTAAAATGGGGTTAACAGTAGTACTGCATGGGATTGTGAAGAGGATCAAGTGAATTAATGTTTGCAAATTTTTTTTTTTAAAGATTTTATTATTAGAGAGAGAGAATGAAAGAAAGCACGAGAGGGAAGAGGGTCAGAGGGAGAAGCAGACTCCCTGCTGAGCAGGGAGCCCGATGTGGGATTCGATCCTGGGACTCCAGGATCATGACCTGAGCTGAAGGCAGTCGCTTAACCAACTGAGCCACCCAGCCGCCCCTAAAGTAGATTTTGATATCAAGGTTTTATGCTGGCCTTAAAACTCACAGGATAATATTTTTTTCGATTCTGTGGATGAATTTGTGTAAGAGTTCTGTTATTTTTTCATTATTTGGAAGATTTTATTGGTGAAACCATCAAGGTTTTAATGCAGATCCAGCTTTTTTTAATAGGGGAATTTTCTGAGTTCTATTTTTGGGGGGGTGGTGTATGTGTCTTTTGGTAAGTTGTGTCTTTCATGGAATTTGTACCCTCACCTAGACTGTCAAATTTATAGAAGTTGTTTCTTGTATGCTTACTACCTTTTTAATGTCTCAAAGTCTATGGTAATCTCTCCTCTTTCATTTCTGATACTGCTAATTTGCATTCTCTCTCCTCATACTCTTTCCTAGGGATTCATCAATTTCACTAAACTTGCCCCAAAACCAACTTTTGACTTCAGTTTTCTCTCCCCTCCCTACTTGTGTGCTTTCGCCATTATCTTTGTTCCCTTCGTTTCCTCTGAATTTGCCCTATTATTTTTCTCTTTTCTTGAAGTGGAAGTTTAGTAATTGATTTTCACCTACTTTTTTAAGATTTTATTAATTTATTAGAGAGCGAGCCTAAGCGGGGGGGGAGGGTCAGAGAGAAAAGGAGACTCCCCGCTGAGCAGGGAGCCCCACTCAGGTCTCGATCCTAGGACCCTGGGATCATGACCTGAGCCAAAGGCAGACGCCCCTCAGGTACTTTTTCTGATAAACAAACTAGTATTGGGTAATACCCAGATAAGACAAACATACTAAAATTTGTGATGTGCAGCTCAAACAACGCTTACAGGTGAATTTATAGCTGAGGTGCATGCACATGCATCACAGACATGCTGCTTACAGTTGGTGCATGTTTATGTAGAATTCTGTATGGGTAAGTTTTTAGGCAAAAATATTGTTATTGTAGAGTACTTAAGTTTGTCACTTGGGGATAAGTTTTTTTGGGGGGGGATAAGTTTTTATTGTCCAGTTATTATAGATTAGATAATCTATTATAAGAATGAATGGTAGAAAAGAGATGCACATATGCTCTCCCTTTGCCCTCCTTTCTTCTCCCTCTGCCATTTTAGAGAAGTGAGCAAGTCAGGTTTTAATTTTATTTTTCCAGATAAATGTGTCACCTTTATTCCTTTTCCTCTCCAGTTCCCATGTTTAAGCCATAAAATACTAAAGTATATAGTCACAGGTATTGGACAGAATCATTAAGTCTTTCTTGTGTCATAAATTTGTTACCTAGTATTGAGGTTTCTTTAAACATAGTCAGAGGTTTGTGTTGGATGCCAGAGAATCTATTTTTAAACCAGGAGCTAGTAGAGTTTCAGTATGTTTCACTCTCTTTTCTGTTTATTTTTATTTTTTTAAACATTCTTAAATTTAAGTTCAATTAATTAACATATAATGTATCATTGGTTTCACAGGTAGAGGTCAGTGATTCCTCAGTCTTAAATTTTAATTATTTTTAAAATTCAAGTATAATTAACATACAGTGTTATATTAGTTTCAGGTGTGCAATACGATTCAACAATTCCCCCACCTACCTCCCCTCTGGCAGCTACCAGTTCTCTATATTGAAGAGTCTGCTCTGTGTTAACTACACTGGAATTAAGATTTTTTTTTTTAATATTTATTTATTTATTTGACAGAGGGAGACACAGTGAGAGGGGCAACACAAGCAGGGGGAGTGGGAGAGGGAGAAGCAGGCTTCCCGCCTATCAGGGAGCCCGATGGAGCGCTCGATCCCAGGACCCCGGGATCATGACCTGAGCCGAAGGCAGTCGATTAAGAGGCTGCCTTCGGCTCAGGTCATAATCCCGGGGTCCTGGGATCAAGTCCTACATCAGGCTCCTTGCTCAGCAGGGATCCTGCTTCTCCCTCTGCCTGCAGGTCCCCCTGCTCATGCTCTCTCGCTCTCTCGCTCGCTGTCTAGCAAATAAAAAAAATTTTTTTGGTCTCCATTTGTCCTTGTTCATTGTTTCTCAAATTCCACATATGAGTGAAATCATGGTATTTGTCTTTCTCTGACTTACTTTACTTAGCATTATATCCTCTAGAAACATCCCTGTTGTTGAAAATGGCAAGATTTCATTCTTTTTATGGCTGAATAACATTTACTTAGTTGCAGAAATATTATGCACATCTAAAGAAGGGGGAAAGAGAAAGATATGCTAAAAATGAAGAATAAAATTAGACCTATTAGTTGAAAATGACATGGCTTAGGGGTACCTGGGTGGCTCAGTCGTTAAGCGTCTGCCTTTGGCTAGGTCATGATCCCAGACTTCTGGGATCAAGCCCCACATCAGGCTCCCTGCTCACTGGGGAGCCTGCTTCTCCGTCTTCCTCTGCCACTCCCCCTGCTTGAGCGCTCTGTGTCTCTCTCTCTCTCTCTCTCTCTCCCTGTCAAATAAATCTTTTAAAAAAAATGATGTGACTTACTTAGAAACCACAATCATGAAGTTTTCATAATTGGGTAGTAGTTTGAGACTAGGGAAATTGCTGAATAGAATAAAATTTATTTTTCCCCTTCAAATTAAAAAATGAAAGTTATAATTCAGAACTTTCCATCTGTGAAATGTGAAATGCATTGTTTCATATTTGTACAATAATTCCTATCATGGCAGGGCTTGTATAATGGGAAATGGAAGCAGAGAAGCAATACACATCGTGGTTAAGAACACAAACTTCAGAGCTAAACCTGGATTCAAATCCTGACCATAGAGTTGGAGCTGTGTGACCTTGGGCTAATTACTTATTTTCTGAGTTTGTGTTTTTACCTATTAAATGGCTGTTCAATACTTCTTAGGCTGTTAAGGATTAAATGAAATTTTAAAACCTAGCACAGAGAATACCTGAAACATCATAAGTTTACAGTGATTTTATCTTTAAAATTTTATTCTTTTACCCTAATCTGTGTTGGTGTTTGAGTTATTAGATGTTGTTATGTATGTCATAGAAACCTAAATCTGGAATATCTAATTTTTAATTAAGACTTCATCGCCTGATTCTTCCAATGAAAATTCCCCGGCAACTCCCCCAGATGAACAAGGTCAAGGTGATGCCCCACCACAGCTTGAAGATGAGGAACCTGCATTTCCACATACTGACCTGGCAAAGTTGGATGACATGATCAATAGGTGAGTTGGTTTGTTTTGTTTTGTTAATGTGTGTAATACACAGGAAAACCAACAGTTTCTCAGCATAGTGATTAGTAGTAAGAAAAGAGAAAGAGTGGGCAGAAATATCACAGTAGCCACATTGCCTCAATAGCCTTAACATTTTAGTGCTTACCAAATACTTTCTAACCCATGGTTCCTAATCATCGAGTAACAGTGTCAATAAAGTTTTCAGATTAATGATGATGACCCAAGCTGGTATGTTTCTGAAGTAGAACCATATATGTGATTTCCCTCTTTCAGAGTTTATGAAGTTTTTTGTTTTTTTTTCTTTTTTGGTATGTTGGTTGCTATGATAGCTGGATGATTTTCTTAATTTTTGCATGGTCCTGAGGTAAGCCAGGTAATTACAACATCGAGTTCCTCAGAGCCTGCCCCTTGTGAACCCTTGACTAGACTGAGGCATTTAACCATCTCAGCTATTTGTTTTCTCTTGATCTTCACCTCAGGGGCAAGCAAGTTCAGGGTATAATTTTTTATACGTGTAGTGGAAGACTCCCAGAGAGTGAAAGTTTAAGCTTATGTGCAGGGGAAGAAAAAGATTTAAAGAAGATAAGGAAAGAGTGTGTTGGGGAATCCCCACATGGCTGTGGGTTCAACAAGTGAGTGCTAGTGAGGTGTAGGGAAAGGAAGGAAAATAAGCACACGTATGAGCATTTGCCTTACCAGATTTTCTTGTTGTATTTCACTTTCTAAAAATCAGTTAACACTGTTAACGTATATAATAGAAGGGAAATAAAAACCCCTTGCATTTTTTCCCAAAAAATTCTGATTACATAAGTAATAAATGTACTATTAAACATGGAAATATTATGTTGATAAAGTCCTGCAATATCCATCTTCTGTACACACATCCCAACAAAAAATTACTAATAAGTATGCTCTTCAGATTACGTTTACTATCATTTGTATTGATTTTTCTACAGATACGGTATTTTTATTGTACCATTTCGTAACTTGCTTTCCTCACTTCATTTATCTTGAAATTTTTCCTATATATATATATTTTAAGAATTTATTTATTTTTGACAGAGAGTGTACAAGCAGAGGAAGCAGGAGGCAGAGGGAGAGGGAGAAGCAGGCCTCCCGCCGAGCAGGGAGCCGGATGCAGGGCTCGATCCCAGGACCCTGGGATCATGACCTGAGCTGAAGGCAGACGCTTAACCGTCTGAGCCACCCAGGCTCCCCTCCTATTACTATGTTTTTAACTCATTGTTTTTAATAATGTATTTGAAAGAACACATTAACTGTAATTCCAGGTGATTCTTATAATAATGTATACAATGAATTGTAGTAAAAAAAACCAGAAATCATGTAAAGTTATTTTAATGTCCCTGAGCTTTCTCTAACAGAGACCTAGCAAAAGGTTTTCCTGTTGCTTTTTGCTTTCTGTCTGGTGATTGGTGGTTGTTAGTAAAGGGTACTTTCTATGCAGACTTGAGGACAAAGTTGCGTATTAGCAAATTTTCAGGGGAAGAGAAATACAAATGATATTTTAATGTAAATAAAAACAATGACAAAGGTGGTATGCGTTTGTTTTTAATAGATTATATAGTCATGGAGCACTTTTTCTCAAAACCAGGGTTTTGGGAGCAGTGAGGAGGGTGAGGAGGAAGGGATAGGGAAGGATGGCCTTGGAGATGGTTGGGCTGCCACTGGGGCCAGAGAAAGCACCACCTGGGTGCATGCTACATCCTTGTTGGAGGGAGGAGGGTACCTGTGGAGGCAGAGAGACCTGGAGAGCCACGTCTCACTTAACCTTCAGGAAAAATTGACAGATTATGAATTGAGGCAGTAATCTGTTACTTTCCACCTAAATTGTTCTCCTTTGTGAGGAAATGAAGACCACTAAGAGATTCATGATGACGAATCCTGAAAGAGCACGTTCCTATGAACTTGAACAATAGGTTTAATTGCTACTTGACTATTATGGTAGTTTTATGTTTATGGTAGTTTTATGGTAGTTAAAATAATTTCCTCCCCCCCACCCCTGCTGTCTTTTGTTTGACAGTTCTTAAAAAAAAATTGTTTGTGGAGACGACAGATGGAACTTAGTTTCACAGAGCAGATATTCTGCCAACCTTGTTGTTTTAATATTTTAATGTTTTTTAATATTAATATTTTCATGTGAGGTAAGTATTTATAGTGCTTTAGAGTGCAACCAATAAACAACTTTTTATATTTTTAAAACTCTTAGGCCTCGATGGGTGGTTCCAGTTTTGCCAAAAGGGGAATTAGAAGTGCTTTTAGAAGCTGCTATTGATCTTAGTAAAAAAGGTAAGTTTAAGTGTTCTTATGGTTTTCATAATGTATGCTACTAATACACTTTCAGTTCATCCCTGAAGACTTCATTTCTTATAAACACTGGATATTCCTAGACCAGAACATCTGAGTTTTCTTGCTGTGGCATATCATATATCCCTAGAATAAGGGTTCAGATCCTTTGGACAGCCTTCAGAGGAGTCACACATAAAATTTGTGTATATTCATTTTTAAACTAAACTGTCTACATGTTGACTGTTCTTTTTAATATACTGAAAAGATTTGATTTTCTTTCCAAAAGATAAAAAGGCTTGAAAGATGAGCTTTGGTGTTTTTATCTTGTCTAGAAGTGAATGCGGAATTTGGAATTGATCATTTTTTCTAATAACTTTGCTTTAGGTGCAGTTGAATTCTCTTAGCAAAGGACAACTATTAAAATATTCTCTTCGCTTTTAAGGCATTGGAAATTAACATAAATGGCAGTAACATTTCAATTTCTGAAATAGGGTAGCCATGGATGTATTCTAATTATCATTAGGCATTATCACAGTTGAAGTTGATCATTACAAAAATTAATCTGCTTACGTCTGTCTCACTCCATGGCAAGGGTGATGTTTCCTTTATCTTAGAATAATTAACATTCCTTCATTTAAAGAATGTCTCCACACCTTTTTAATCTTGTAAAAATAATAAACTATAAAAATACATTTCCAGATTGCAATTATTGACGACCACTCAAATTTCTTTTGTTCGTTTGCACATTAATTGAGCAATTTTTTGAAGACTTTTGCACTAGGCATGTTCTCCGTCCTGACTGTATAATTATAGGTAAGAACACAATGGTATTTCATTTAATATTCATGGACATTCATTGGACATGTAGCCCCCCTACCTCTGTCTTTCTTTTTGGGACCATGGTTTATTTTAGGCAAGGTTCAGATTTTCACATACAATACTGAGTTTAAATGTCCTCTCCTCTGTACAGTCAAACTCAAAGAACACTTTATATAAAAATTGAATAACTTTTCACTTTGTCCTCAAGCGTTAAAGATTTTCAAGGGGTGCCTGGGTGGCTCGGTTGAGCGTCTGACTCTTGATTTCGGCTCAGGTCATGATCTCAGGGTTGTGAGATCAAGCCCCGAGTTGGGCTTCGCGCTGAGTGTGGAGCCTGCTTAAGATTCTCTCTTTCTCTTTCCCTCTGCACCCCTCCACGCCCCCTGGGGCTCCCCCATGCACACATGTGTGCTCACTCACTTTCTCTAAGACCAAAAAAATAATAATTATAAAAGAAGAGTTAAAGATTTTGTCTGTGTTTGGCCAGGCAGGGCATTTGGCTCTATTGCCTTTCTGAAATCAGATGATATTAAGCAAAGCTATAAAGAAGCATAGATGCTGGGATAGTGAAAGACACTAAAACAAAAACAATTCATCTTACTCAATGAAACACTTACATAGAGTAGTGTTAAGGATATTGGTGTCTAATGGATCATTTACAACCAAAATAAGATTTTAAAAATAGTTGTGAAACATCATTTTCTAAGTTTTAAAGTTTATTTTCAGAGAGTAAAATGCTATGAAGCATTTAGATTCCCTCTCAGTGGTACTGGTAACCATTTTACATTTCAGGTCTAGTGTCATAATTTGAAATGTTTTCAATTCACCTTGCTTGGTTTGATGTACTTTTATACAATTAAATAGTTTTGAAATTCATTGAAGATTTTGTTTCTGAATCAGTTACCTTCTTAACACATAGGAACTTTGATAATACTTGTATATTTTTTTGACCTCTTAATAGATAATGCTGTGAGTTTTTTCCAAAGGTAGTGTGAATTTCATAGCTATTGGTGAATAGTATAAATTATTTATTACCTTTTTTTAAAAGATTTTATTTATTTATTTATTTATTTATTTGACAGAGAGAGAGAGAGACAGTGAGAGAGGGGGAGTGGGAGAGGGAGAAGCAGGCTTCCTGCTGAGCAGGGAGCCCGATGGAGGGCTCGATCCCAGGAACCTGGGATCATGAGCTGAAGGCAGACGCTTAACGACTGAGCCACCCAGGCGCCCTTTATTACTTTTTATCATATACTTGGACATTTTGAGACAACCAGAAAAATGCTTTGTTTACATTAATTTTTCTTCCCTTTTCTTAGGCCTTGATGTTAAAAGTGAAGCATGCCAGCGATTTTTCCGAGATGGGCTAACAATATCATTCACTAAAATCCTTACAGATGAGGCAGTAAGTGGCTGGAAGTTCGAAATTCATGTGAGTCTTGCATTTGACTTTAAAAAAACCAGACTTTCATAGTGATGCCTGGGAGTTGTGTTCTCATTCATATTGGTTGTATATTTGATACATTAATTGAATTAACGGGTGTAATACTGAGGAACCTTAAAAATACTTGTTATAAGTTCTAATTTCTATCTAAGAAAGCATGATCTTTTAGTGTGAGGTTTAGAGTTAGAGACCTTTGGTTTAATATGTGTTCTGGATTCTCAAGTGCCTTGTGACCCTAGGCAAGTCACCACGTTTCATTAATTGTGAGATGCGCAACACACTCATTTTATGTACCACTAAAGAAGGAAAACACCCAAGATCGGGAATCTAGTATCTGGGACACAAAGGGTCAATGTAGAGAAATAAACTTATCCATACAGAAAGAGATGTGAAAGGAACCTGTCTGTCTCAACCATGGCATCTTGGGTTAAAAGTCTCCTGAAAATTTAAACAACAGGCCAGTATTCAAAGAGTTTGGTAATTTGAAATCAAATTATAGTTGTGAAACAAAAAAAAATCCTTAAATGGTCTAAGGTTCGTTGTGTGCCCAAGTGATTGGCAGAAGCAAACACAGGTTTTCTCTACAACACCTTCAGTGGAAGAAACTACTATGCATTGATTATAAGATACAATGAAATTTCAGAGATTTTAAAAAGTGAAAGAACATGCATCGTAGATTGATGAAATGCCGTAATTACTCCAAGTCTCTGTTCCCTGTTCATACTGTGGAAATCTGGTCATAAATTGTGAGGCAGATATTTTTGTGCTCTGTGAACTATTTTTCAAATATAACCATAGCACAAAAATCCCACCATCTTCTAATTCAACATGTAACTTTATAAGTAAAGAAACGGAAACTTTGGAGGTGCTATCAGACTTTTTCATTGAGGCTTAGATAACAAATCTATTCCATCATGGATAATTAATATATTGTATAGATTTTAGAATTGCTGCCTCTAGTGTACAAATTCCAAAGAGGAAAAAATATAGTAATTTGCGTCTTGTCTATAGACACAGGGCAGTACCTACTTAATTTTATAAGCTGTTGCAAATGGCTTTTTAAAGTACTCTATAAAGAATAGTAAATGTTAATTTGGTTTTTTGATCTGTCAGTTTGATCCCAATATTAAACAATTAAAATGGTCAGTGTAAACAAATGGAGAGATGGAGTTGTAATGTTTTGATCTTATAAATCACCTTTCCTCCTTATATTAAACAGAGGTGTATTATCAACAATACTCATCGCCTGGTGGAGCTATGTGTGGCCAAGTTGTCCCAAGACTGGTTTCCACTTCTAGAACTTCTCTCCATGGCCTTAAATCCTCATTGCAAATTCCATATCTACAATGGTACACGTCCGTGTGAATCCGTTTCCTCAAGTGTTCAGTTGCCTGAAGATGAACTCTTCGCTCGTTCTCCAGACCCTCGATCACCAAAAGTGTGTTGGTTTGTTATTTTCATAATTAATACAGTTTTGCTCTGCCACAGAGCTGTAAAAGATCTGAACCACCTGTTAATGTGAAGAAGAGTAGTTTCATGTTACTATGAAGGGATTCTGCATTATTTTGTGTTTTGGATTCTGTTTTCCTCCCTAGCTTTACTGAAGTATAATTGACAAAATTGTTTTAGACTGTGTTTTTTTGTTTGTTTTGTTGTTCTTTTTAGCTTTCTCCATGTAGTTAGTTCCCATTATCTTGTGCTCAGCCCTTGGGGAAATAGTCATAAAATGGGTTATATGAAACAGGCCATAATTTTCCTCAAAAATAAGAGTAGAATAGGAGGTGACTTTGATGCAAGGCCATGATCACTGTGGACAGTCTAATGTTTTGACTTCAGGATCACGTATATCATACAAATGTCTAATAATGTGTCATAAAAGTAAAATTGTAGAAATTATAAACAAAAACAAAATAGTAAAATTTTATGAATGTCAATGAAATATATATGATACACATCACTGTAAAAGTTCTCAAATGTAAATTTTCTATATTGGCATAAATAGTATACAAAACAAAATCTATCCTTAAATTGTTCATCTTTTAATATTAAATAATACATAGTTTTTAAATTTTATAATTTAGGGAGACTTTATTTTTCTATTTTTTTTTATGATTTTTATTTATTTGAGAGAGAGAGTGAGTACAGCCAGGGGGAGGGGTGGAGGGACAGGGACAAGCAGACTACCCAGAGAGCCCAACCCAGGACTCAATCCCAGGACTCCGGCATTGTGACCTGAGCTGAAGGCAGATACTTAAACCAACTGAGCCACCCAGGTGTCCCTTTAGGGAGACTTTTTAATATTGTGGGCCTTATAAAAAGGAAAACCCAGCCAGGAAAATTTGAATTTATACATAAAACTTTAGGTTTATTCTGTTAAAAGTGGAAATCTTCAAAATGTGTTAAACTGAGAGCTGGGATTTTCTGATATTTCCCAAGATTAATATTGTTGCCACTTCATGCTTATATTTGGTTTGGTAAATCAAATTATTATCTAAACAGTGGCAGTCTCCAAAATATACCTGTATTTCTCTTTCTGATTTTTGCTCTATAAGTCGGTGATAATCTTGAGATTCACGGGGAACAATTTGTTTTAAAATGGCTTTTGGTTGAAGATCTTTTTATATCTTTCTTTGAAGCCTAGCTCTTCTTGAGTTTTACTAATTACAGTGTTCCTGATTGCTTAAAGATATATTGTAGCTGAAAACATAAAGGAAGATTAGTTTTAGACTGATTTTTTTTTTTTTACTTTGTGCACATATACTATTTTATATATACATATTATGCATAACTATTGAGTATATCAGACTATTAGTCTCATTCCATTTACTTGAGAAATTGAAATGCAGACTTGCTGAATGCCATAAGGGACTGGTGAATTAAAATGCTCAGATTTTTAATTGTTTCGAATTAGCTTTTTCAGACCAAATAAAAAGGTAGGAAAATACTATAATGAGCTTACATAGAAAAGTGTTGTTAATTTAGTGGAGAATTTAATTGATTCAGACATAAAATCCTATCAAAACTACCGTTAGCTTACATATTGTCTCTTTGAAAGCAGTTACCTTATACTTCCATTTTCCCTTTGTCCTGGACATGTTTTTTTGTTTTTGTTCTTGTTCTTGAGTAGCTGTAGAAATTATTTTTGCTTAAGACTTAGTAGCGAAATTCCCCTTTCCCCCATTGGTTTTCCCTCAGTGGACTCTAAAACGTGGCTTTTTAGAAGAAACCTAGGTATAAAGGGTCATCTTGGGTACATAAATTTTTAGATAGATTTGATTCTTAGATCCGTATATAACCTCTTAATTTAAGTTTTTACACGTAAGTATGCTTTTAACTCCACAAACTATTGCCTATCCCAATTTCATTGTACTGTAAATTATTGCTGTCCCTTAGGGAAGGGTTTGAAAGACAATCCATAGTTAACTGCATCATGGTTACCTCTAAGCTGAGAATTGGGGCATTCACAGGAGCCAGCAAAAGCATCAACCAGCATGTTCTAGTCCAGAGCAACAGATATAATACCGGCCAATACCGTTGGCTTTGTTTACTTTCAGGCTTTAAGATTATTGTATTTATAGGAAATTTTTAATTATTTACAACTACAATAAAAAAATGAATTCAAACATTATCTTAGGTTACCACGTACCTTTTTCTTATTTTTTAAAGAGGTTTTTTTTTTAAATCCTCCTAAATTTTTTAAAAATAACTTTCAGATAATAAGATACTCTCCTACAGTGGGATCTCTGAAATAGAAACATGGCTTCTAATCCCTGTTCACCAGCTCTATTGGTAGAACCAACCAACTGTGCCTTCGTGATCTAATCTGTACTGCTGCTTATGCCTTTTCTTACAGACAAGATTACTATGAATAATACGTAATATTTTATTTCAAAGATGATTTTACATGATTTTCTTTTTTTGAGTTTCCTATTTCTAGTTTGTTTCAATCAAGAAATTACTTCAGATGGTTCTTTTCTTTCTTAAAAGCAGGAAGTCAACCTTTTTCATTAACTGTATTACAGGGTTGGCTGGTGGATCTTCTCAACAAGTTCGGCACTTTAAATGGGTTCCAGATTTTGCATGATCGTTTTATTAATGGATCAGCATTAAATGTTCAAATAATTGCAGCCCTTATTAAGTAAGTAATGTTTTTAAATGAATCTTCAGTGCGTTATAGGAATTGCTACTTAATTCTGTGATAAAAATATTCTTTTTTCAAGTATGGTTTCCTCTTTAATTGATAACTTGGATTTTTTTAAAAAGTAATATAAGTAAGTCTGAGTTCAGTCTTAGTTGATTGTAAGAAAGTGAGTATTACAAGAGTTTTTGTTTGTTTTTGTCTTCTTTCAGACCATTTGGGCAATGCTATGAGTTTCTCACTCTTCATACAGTGAAAAAGTACTTTCTTCCAGTAATAGAAATGGTTCCACAGTTTTTAGAAAACTTAACTGATGAAGAGCTGAAAAAAGAAGCAAAGAATGAAGCCAAAAATGATGCTCTTTCAATGATTATTAAATCTTTGAAGAATTTAGCTTCAAGGGTTCCCGGACAAGAAGAAACTGTAAAAAATTTAGAAATATTTAGGTTAAAAATGATACTTAGGTAAGATATTTTCCTCTTGAAATAAACTGTGTGAATATTTAGAATCCTATTTAACACTGAATTTCTCTTCTAGATTACTGCAAATTTCATCTTTCAATGGAAAGATGAATGCACTGAATGAGGTTAATAAGGTGATATCTAGTGTGTCTTACTACACTCATCGGCATGGTAACCCTGAGGAGGAAGAGTGGCTTACAGCTGAACGAATGGCAGTAAGTCCTTTGGTTCTTTCATGAATAAAAATCTGCCTAAGGCAAAAAATTAGAATGGCTTTACTTAATGTTATAACATTTTAAAGAAAACCTTGAAACTGGGAGGTGTTGGGACTGATTTCTGACTCTTAATCCTTGGAACTTTTTGTAATAGCATAGCTTATTTGGTAGTGATATAGGTAGCTTCGCACATCTTTGATAAACTTAATGCTGAATGTAGGTATTCTGAAGTGATTATTAGCTTGTTTGGGTGGATTGGTTGAAATGGAGAAGATAAAGGTGATCTTCGGGATAGATTGGATAGTATCTGATATTTGATGAATGAAGTGGCCTATCATTCATTTGACTGATGCTACTTACAGATTTTAAAATAAGAAATACAATTACTGGAATAAGATGTACGTGAATTAATGTATTATTATTTTAAGAACTTCACTTAAGCACTTCTATTCATACTATTCTAATGTTGAATGTTTAGGAAACTTTACCATAGATACTACTTTTTTTTTTTTTTAAGATTTCATTTATTTTCGTGCACGAGTTGGGGGATGGGCAGAAGGAGAGAGAGAGAATCTCCAGTGAGATTCTCCACTGAGCGTAGAGCCTGGCGTGGTGATCAATCCTATGATCCATGAGATCATGACCTGAGCCGAGACTTAGCTAAGCCACCCAGGCACCCTTTACCATAGATACTTCTTTATTTTATAGTTTTTAAAATACATAAGTATGCCACTTTGAAAGTATTGGTCGAATAACTTGAGTGCATAGTGTCTGACGGTACTGAGCAGACATCTGTAAAAGAACTGTCCTTGCCCTCATGCCCTCCTCAGTTTAATAGGGGAGACAGTGATTAGGATGTGATAAAAGGTATGTGGAAGATGCGTAGACATTGGCTCTGTGTTAGGGGTCAGGTGTTAAACATCTGATTTTGTATATGTGATTTGTCTACTTTGTGGGAATTCTGAACACAGTGCTTGTCAGGAGTATGGTCTGAGGTCTGCTTCTGGTCCTTGAACTGTTGCCAGTGCTAGAGGAGTACAGAAAATGGCATCAAGTGTTCAGAAACTTTTGTAGCAATTTGACATTGCCACATAATTCCTGTATTTTATAAACGTACCTGCAACAGGTTAGAAATAAAAATGGACCTTTACCACCTGAGAAGTGTACTTCTCCAGCACATTTGGGGGTTTGATACTTTTTTAATCTCATTAAGTTGAATACTGTAAAATTACACAGTATGGGCTATTACCGTTTTGTATCATGAATTAGAGTTTTCTTCTATTGGTATAGATACTAAATAAATGCCAGTCAGCAACATAGCATAGTGTTACAGAAACACAGACTTGGGAAGCATGCAGCCTTAATTCCAATTCCACTTCTAACATTTCTGAGCCTGTTTATTCTTCCATAATAGGATAATATATCCCTCATTAGGATTGTTTGGAAGAGTAAAGTGCTACTGGATAAGCAGTAATAGTGTAATTGGTTAATAAATAAAAGCAAAAGATTAAAACGGCATGTTTTCATCAAAATCACAACCATTGTAAGGAAACCAAAAATGTTAAAATGGGTCTTGTACCCACTCTACCTAAACCATGGTGCTTGCTGCACTTAAATAATACTTTTCTGTGTAAATGCTGGAGTAAAATCTTTTTTTTTTTTTTTTTAAAGATTTTATTTATTTATTTGAGAGAGAGAGAATGAGAGATAGAGAGCATGAGAGGGAAGAGGGTCAGAGGGAGAAGCAGACTCCCCGCTGAGCAGGGAGCCCGATGCGGGACTCGATCCTGGGACTCCAGGATCATGACCCAAGCCGAAGGCAGTCGCCCAACCAACTGAGCCACCCAGGCGCCCCTGGAGTAAAATCTTTTTAATAAGTATACTATTTCTGAGTCATGGAAACATTTCTGTATATGCAAAATTAAGTTCCATGAAATTATTTTGGTTTTTCCATGGTTGTGAATTAAAACAGCACATTAAGCCTGTTACATTATTGTATTTATTTTGTATTTTTTAATTCGTACTAATGTTTAAAGTGTGAATGATATTTCATATGTATTTTTTAAAAAGGTTCTGTGTTTCAGTTTCTTCTTTAAATCAAATTTTTGAATTACGTTTAGGAATGGATACAGCAGAACAATATCTTATCCATAGTATTGCGAGATAGTCTGCATCAACCACAGTATGTAGAAAAGCTGGAGAAGATTCTTCGTTTTGTCATCAAAGAAAAAGCTCTGACTTTACAAGATCTTGATAATATCTGGGCAGCACAGGTAAGAAATTTCATATGGTGACTATTTGGTTTCTAAAAGAAAGATACTAATAAAAACTAAAGGAACATAGTTGTGAAACAGGTCGAACACTTACATTGTTTGACTTCTAGTATGTTTAAATGCTCGTGATTTACGGAAATCGTGTCAAGAATCTTTTTTAAATAGCCAATAGTACATATTTTTAAAGATCCATAAAAAAAAATGTATGTATTTATTTTAGAGCAAGGGGAGAGACAGAGGGAGAGGGGGAGAGAGTCTTAAGCAGACTCCGCCCTGAGTGCAGAGCATGACACAGGGCTCAACCTCATGACCTGGGCAAAAGCCACGAGTCGGACACCTAACTGCATCACCTAGGCGCCCTGAAATAACTAATAATATTTTAAATATATTCATAATTTGCCTGTGTGTTTGGTACAGGTTAGCAATTGTAGGTGGTGTTTTTTCTTTTTAATTTTCACTACAAATTTTTGACGCAAGTATTTTATTTACGCAATGTTACATTAGTTTCTTCATAAACTTAATTAGAAAAAACTTTAATGTCAGTAGAGTTAAATCACTAGATTATTTGTGAAGACTTGTAATAATCCAAAGGACTTAGAGCTTTTCTGAAAGATAAGTAACTTTTTTGGTTTCATAGCTAGAAACTAGGTGATTCCTTTGATTACCTCAATGACAGGTTTCTACTGGGATCACTTGGGAAGTACTGTTGAGTTTTTAGATTACAAAGCTTCATGTTTTGAGTCTGTAGAAACCAAGAAAACATTCAGAAATTTTCCCTTTGAGTGCTTAAGGTTCCAGTTTTGGAACAGTACCATTGGTGTGCCTTATTGTTCTCCTACTTGCAATGTTAAATTGGCACGTTAAATTCAGTAAATTGTAATAAAGGCTCACATGAATTCCCAAGTAACCATTAACCAGTATATCAAGGAATTAATTTGTCAGGTTTTAGAGGCCAGTTCTAAAGCATTTTTAAAATGTTAAGAATTTTCTTACGTTTTACACTTAGATGAAGCTGGTGGGAATAGTTTAATTAATAGCTGCCAGCAGTTGTGTATACACAACTTACCTGCTGTTCAAATTCTAATATGCTATGTTATCTTTGGTTTTTCAATAGGCAGGGAAGCATGAAGCCATTGTGAAGAATGTACATGATCTACTGGCAAAGTTAGCGTGGGATTTTTCTCCTGAACAACTTGATCATCTTTTTGATTGCTTTAAGGTAATAGCATAGTAAAGTAGTGCCACTTCATTTTAATAAAATTACCTTATTAGATCTGTGAGTTGCTCTTAGCCAATAAATACTTCAGTAGAAATTACTGAACAATTTCTGGTGTGAAGGAATTGGTCATTTTTTTTTCCCAGTGAGAACTTAATGTTCATTTTTATAATAATAGCCCTCATAAATACGGAATCTTTTATTTTTTTTTTTAAGTTTACTGTGTTTTGTTTTTTTTTAATTTACTTTTGAGAGAGAGAGAATGAGAGGGGGGAGGGTCAGAGGGAGAAGCCGACTCCCCGCGGAGCAGGGAGCCCGATGCGCAACTCGATCCCGGGACTCCAGGATCATGACGTGAGCCGAAGGCAGTCACTTAACCAACTGAGCCACCCAGGCGCCCAATACGGAATCTTTTAAACTCAGGTTGTGAGTTTGGATTTCTTTCCCCTAGCAGTTTGAATTTTTATTATAGGTTCAGGTGCACTGTAGGACTTCAGGGAAGGATGATTGGTTGCAATAAAAAATAAAGTGTCAATAACAAGGGATTACCAACAGCTTGGTATTCTGGGGTGATGTGCACAGGCAAATGGAAATGTAATTTATAAGGTAGCCCAAGAGCCCCTATAGCGATACCTGCATTGGTATCATCATGCACTTGTTAAGGCCATATTGTGTAGTGGTCTCTCTACAGTTGTTAGTATTGGGTTTGTGAAAACCATATGATTGGTGAATTTGTGGATTAAGAACATACGACCTTAAGGCAATAGCAGTGTTCGCGCGGAGTGTTCCATTAACAGCTGGCATTAGATGATAAAGGTATCTTGTTTAAAGTAACAGTTATACTGACTGCTGGTGGGAACATAAGTTGTTACAACCATCTTGGAAGTAGATTGATATTTCTTGAAAAGTGTAGGATTCTCATGACTCATCAGTTTGACTTCTCAATATATCCTCTAGAGGAACTGATGCATATGTACGGCCAGGATTCACGTTTAACATTTAAAGCAGAATTATTTGTAATAGCAAACAAGAAAATTGCTATGTAGAATGGGTAAATGGAATGTGGTTTTCAGTAGGCCAGTTCTGTACCCCTCACCCCCACTGTCAGATATTCAGCAGGATGTGGACATAATTTGGTTGTCACAGGTGGGAGGAAGAGTTGCTACTAGTCTCTACTGGGTAGGGGCCAGGGATGCTGCTAAACAGTGCACGGGAAAACCCCACAACAAAGATTTCTCCAGCCTAAAATGTCAGTACCAAGGTTGAAAAACCCCGATGTTAGGTATTTCTATAAATAGAGATTTTTTTTTTGGTCCTCACGTTTAATTCTGCCCTATCTTATCTCTTGGATATCACTAGAATAATCCTGTGCTCAGCATGTTTTTCCCATGAATATAGTTAATCCTGTGACACTTAATTTAATCACTGATGGGTAAATGTGGTGTTTTCATGTCATTTTTAATTTTTTTTCTAGGCCAGTTGGACAAATGCAAGTAAAAAGCAGCGTGAAAAGCTACTTGAGCTGATACGTCGCCTTGCAGAAGATGATAAAGATGGTGTAATGGCACACAAAGTGCTGAACCTACTGTGGAATCTGGCCCACAGTGATGATGTACCTGTAGACATCATGGACCTGGCTCTCAGTGCCCACATAAAAATACTAGATTATAGTTGCTCACAGGTAAGGTGTGCCCCTTTGTTCACTTTTTCTCACACTTGCCTTCATTCTCAGGATGGCTTAGATACAGAAAAGTTCCACATCTTTTGATGTTAGTTTTGAAAAAGAATTGGCTCACTTTCTTCATCTGCCTTCCTCATGTTAGGTATCTATGTCAAAATTTTGTGTATCATCTGAAAAGCATTTTAGTCTCCTTGGGAGAAAGACGGTATTAAAAAAACAAAACAGGTTATATAGTGGTACTATTGTCAGATGCATGGGGCTGAAATACCAGTTTCAAATAGATCATAAAGTATTAAAGGGACTTCAGAGGTAAGAGAATTTGAGTTTCTTTGCTCACAGGGAAATTAAGAATAGTTAATAGAATTTTCTAAATAGTAAAACATTTTGAGTCTTTCCTGTGAGCAAATCACACAACAGCTTCCCTGGATTCTAACTTGTATTATGTTAACTATTAACTTTTATGGTAAAATGAAAATTGCTGATTAATTTTCCGCTTGTTGAAACAATTTGCTACCCTCATGAACTGAAATTTAGGTGAGAGTTAATAAGATCAAGTAGGTGTATGTGATTCAGGTGCCATTCGGTTTTTTTACTATACTTTTCTTGTAATAGGTCATTAAACACTTAGTATACCAAATACTAATAAGAAGCTTCAGTTTAAATTATTTCATTAAACAGAGACACACACACACAAATTAATCCAAACTTAAACTCCTTAGGTGCAAAAACCTACATTTCTGATTACTGTTGATTAGGGGAAGGAGTAAATAAGATATGAAAAGTGAAATATATTTGAAATAAAATTTTGAATTTATAATACTTTTATAACTGCTTTCCTTTTATCTTTTTTGTGTATATGTCCATATGTCCTTACATTGATTATCGGTGAAACTTTTTTTAACTTAGTTGCCATACCATTATTTTCTTGGGAAAATAGAAATTTTCGGTGTCCTTCACTATGCTAAAACAGTCCCATTTGGAATAACAATTGGGGTTATATGTTATTGCTGAATTTTATTCGATAGAATTCTTTGAAACATCAGATAGTACTGTTTTACTTTTTGTAGTTTTGGTAGTAAATGTGAAATAAAAATGTATTTACTACTTTTAAACACTGTTAAACTCTTATTTGCAATTACTACATGCTTGTGATGATGATCTTATAAGAAAAGCCCTATTTTATCATTGGAGTTTTCCTGTGTATGACCCATCTAAAACATTGAAATTGTTTGTTTAAGGACCGTGACACACAGAAGATCCAGTGGATAGATCGTTTTATAGAAGAACTTCGTACAAATGACAAATGGGTAATTCCTGCACTGAAACAAATTAGAGAAATTTGTAGTTTGTTTGGTGAAGCCCCTCAAAATTTGAGGTAAGGCTTTTAACAGAAAATTTCAATATTTTTATTTTGTTGAAAAGAAATAGCATTGTCACTTGGTAAAAACAAATTTTTCAAAGGAAAGTGGGGAGTTGATAGGCTAAGAGAAGGGTTAATTTGGAACAAAAGATTCCTGTATCATATCTATATCCTTGATTTTATTGATGAGAAAGTATGCCACAATTAAGTGATAAATGTCAGAATCAGCAATATTCTGTATTACTCATGAAAGATGTTAAGATACGGTTTAAAATATTTTTTGATTGATTTTAGCTAAATTTCTGTTAAGTAGTTGTATGTATGTAGATATGTATGTATTTATAAATAGTGGTCTTCAAATATAATCCTCTTACATGCCAAATTCTCGTTACTAGAATAATTTGTCCTGGTATTTTCTGTTTGTAAGAGTTGGAACAGATAATGTGAAAAGTTAAAAATAATGTGCAGAGAGAGAGCTAGGTATAGTATCAAGAATACTTAATAATGGGGTCAGGATTCCTGGGTATGACCCTTGAGTCTAAACAGTCATATCATCTTGTAAAGATTTACTAATTGAAAGAAACGTGTTTTTCTTATGTGTAAAATTAGATGATTGCCAAAGATCCTTTGCCCCAGATTATTAAGATTATGCCTAAGACAGAAAAGGCCATATATATTTTGGTTTCAGTGGTTGAACTTTGTCTCAGTTTTATCCAAAGGCTTGAAAAAATAGGAAATTAAAAAGCTGTAGGGATAAACAGTGAAGGAAATCCAGACGTATATCTTATTAACAGTAACATTTATTTGAGGGACATATTTTTATTTTGGGGCCACTGTATATAATGCCTTTCTGCCTTTCTCAAATGAATTAACTTGTCTGTTGTAGAAAGAGCAGTTTCCATACTCTTTCAGGGTACAGTAGCTTCATCTCCACTAGAATAGTAATGGCTCTGAGAGTTTATTGGTTTCAGTGAAGGTATCAGAACAGGTAGGAAAGGGACTAGATGTCTTTCTAGTGATACCTGTGGGCAAATATAGCTACAAACCAAGTGTCCCAGAATGTACCTTGAATGGCTAATAAATAAAATTTTACAGAAAGCATTTTCTTTGATCAAATTCTTCACTATTACAGCATAATCTTTGTGCTACTAGTCTTGCAAGGATTATGTTCCTGTTCTGTAATTCTGTAAACTTCAACAAGTGCTTTATTACTACTGTAGTATAGGAGTAGAAATTAGTCATTGAGGTAGATGCCCATGTTGTGAGATTGGAGAGCATTATAGTTTCCATATAAATAAGAAAAATGGAATAAATGTCTGATTTTTGAGACATTTTTAAAAAATTATTTGATATTGTTATTAAAGAAATTAAATGGCTAAGAGTATAAGTCTATCATGAGGAAAACCATTTAAAATTTTTCTAGTAGGAGCTAAGATTTTAGATTGTATTAAGCTCTTTTGCTTACAACAGAGTTTAATTGCCTAATTATATTGTTAAGTTCTTCTCGTTTCAGTCAAACTCAGCGAAGTCCTCATGTATTTTATCGCCATGATTTAATCAATCAACTTCAGCACAATCATGCCCTAGTTACTTTGGTAGCAGAAAACCTTGCAACTTATATGGAAAGCATGAGGCTATATGCTAGAGGTATGTATTGTGAGCTCACCCAAAATACAGGAAATAACAGCAATTTCCCAGCATTTTTTTCATCAGTTACTTCACAAATGGACAAAAGTATTTTAAAAGATGGATGATAATGGGTCTTATTAACTGTGTTCCTTTATGAGCTTATGTTCCATTTTTACTCTGAATTTTTACCCACCCTAAATTTCAAGCCAGCATTTCACAACTCTTTCTTGGTGCTTGCCTTCCCCAATCTCCTTGTTAAATTGATTTCTTTTTCTTCTCCGGGAGTTCTGCCTGCCTGTACTATATAATTGGTTGTTACCGTCTTTGGAATGTACTTGACTCATTCTCAACCTTTGTTTCATTACTACTATCACCTTTATTTTTTCATGAAAATCTGTGTTGTCTAAGTCTGTTCTTGTATATGTTATAGTTCCTTTATAATCCTAAGTCCTTATTTCATAAATCTTTCAGACTTTGTGAATTAGAAAATTCACAAGGACAGCGATGTGAAACTACAAAAATCCACGTTTATGCTGGTTTACAAAGTGTGAATTTGTTTAAATGTGTAGGGTAGAGTTTCCTGAGGTTTCAGCAGCCAGTTTTTAAGTTCTTGCCATTATGTGGAGCTCTGTTTCAATACTCCTTTTTGCCCTCTGGCAGTTGTGTTTATCTGTGCTAGAGTAAGGATGGGTTTTTAGTACATATTCCACTGTCTTGTAGGCCCAACCTTGTTCCCATAGTCACAGAAAGAAAACTTTGTACTACCACTGCTAGAAATAGAATTGAACATAATGGTTACTGAACATACTACTGATTTAACATTTTATAGTAGATAAGAGTCTGCAGAAGCCAGTAGTTATGTATTTAAAATGGTATTTCTAATACTCATTACCTGAAGAGTAGATAGACTCTTGGCATTCTTGAATAAAATCCCAAGATGCTTATAAATCATAGGATTTGCTTTAACACAGGATATGTGTATATTCCCGTCTAAAATTCAGATAAACATAATGGAAAAATTAAGCAGCTCTTCAGATATGCCTACTAATTGTATTGACTCCTTTGTTCTTCAATTTACCCCCCTCTGGGCCAACTGAGACCTAGGCAGTAGATTGTAGAGCTAGATAAGCAGTCTAAGCATCAGGTAACTGATAGGCACCAGGCAATGATCTTGTGCCGTTTCAAGCCTGAGTTCCTTCTAAGCAGCATGATAAGATGATCAGAGCAATATTGGCACGTGACCATGTAATTTATGTTCTGTGCCAAACGCAACCAAAATCTGAGAGAAGTACAGGAGGTTTCCATGTAATACGCCCAATCAATCACTCAAGCATCTGGGCTCAGTTTAACATACTGCAGATTTGTTGTCTTGGTCTCATCTCTTCTTGCTGGTACAAAGTCCTCACAAATGCCATTGCAGGCCTTCACCCGAAATGGAGCCATATAAATCCTTTGTGCTACAATGCTAATTTTTATTTACTTCCTTTGTATGTGATGTTTTGATTCTTTTCATTGCTAAAAGTTGAGTACTGTGCTGTTGGGGCAGTCAGGAGATGATGGTGCATGTGCAGTTCAGCCTCACTAGGGTTTCCGGCTTTGTTTTAGTCAAATTCTGCATGAATCATTGCCTCATCTCAATTGTATTGTCACAAGAAGGTTTTCAGTCTTGAGTTTTCCCTCCTTAGATTATCTGTAGCTCCGTAAAATTAGAGGTATGACTCTTGGATACAAGTCAGATTGTCTAGATTTGAAAATGACTAAAAACATATTAGGTGTATGACCTTGGGCAAGTTATGTATGCTAGAACAATGCCAGGCACATAGTATTCAGCTCTTGGATTTTTGTTATTGATGTTCCCCTAAATTCATTGACACACCTGTTTCTCCTAACTTTGTTAACTTTTCCTCCTTTATTACAATACTCTACTGATAATACCAAATGGTCAGTCTAGAGATCCTTAAATATGGGGGAAGGGGGTGATAAACTTTTTAAAACTAGTAAAATTCTCCTGTTACAGTAAACTTTCTGCGGTAGTAAGTGACTTCTGTGGTAATATCAACCACCAATTTCTGAATTTGGAATCCTAAAGTAAATTACAGTCTTTGGAAGTATTCCGTAGATCTCACTAGGTATGAGACATACTATTCACAGGATGTTATCAAGCTTCCACAATTTTCTGATACTCTTAATTTCTGATAACTATTATATCAGTATTACATATTTGTCCTTACATATTTCATCTCCAACATCTTTAGTTTTGGAATAAAACATTTTTACAGTAGTATGGTCAGCTGACTCTACCTCCTGTTTTAATATTATTTAGATAAAGTAATGAATTTATTAAAATTATCTCCAATATTTACTCGTGTGTTCTTACTAGTAGTGCCTTCAGATACTGGTGGTTACAAGTCATCCTTTAAAAAGTTTTTTAGTGCAGACAACAAAGTAGAAGACCACTTTTAATTTTCACTCAAGTTTTGCCTTATTGGTAGGGTAGTCATTGTATTGACTTGAACACTTAATGATAGTTTTATTTACCATTTTTCCTGGTTTCTGGATAGAGTTGTAGGACTCATCTTCATTATAAATCATTTTTTTGCATTCTATTTTCTAAGGACTACCACTTCTAGTGACCTCTTCCCAATCTTTTACATCCAGTACTGGAAATTTCTAGGAACAGTTTTCCACATAAAAGATTTCTTCGTGAGCATCATTCACCAACAGTGCTCTCTGTGTTAGGGTCAAATCCTGGTCTAGACTTTCTCAGCTCTGGCTCATTCCTACCCATCAGTCATGAAATACAGTTAAATCTGTGTGGGCTCTTTGTGATTCAAAAAAAATTGAGTATTCATTTTATAAGTAGCTTATTATAGTTCTCTAGAGTAGTGGTTGTTATATTCAAGGCCTGGTGTAAGGAAAGTACATAAGATGGTCCTTCAACATCTTATTTTAGAAAGTTAGAAAGGGCTTAAGGAATATTGTTAAGGGGCACCTGGATGGCTCAGTTGGGTGAGCGTCTGACTTTTGATTTTGGCTCTGGTCATGATCTCGGGGTCATGAGCTCAAGTCCCGGAATCAGGCTCTGCACTCCACAGGGAGTCGACTTGCGATTCTCTATCCTCTCCACCCACCCCCCCAATGTATGCACGTTCTCTCTCTCAAATCTTAAAAAAAAAAAAATCTTGTTGACATGTCAAAAACAAATAAGAGTTGGCTCTTACTGGCCAGAATTAGGTCAAAATAAATAATAAAAATAAACCCATTAAATAAAATACACACCCCTACGTCCATGCTGAAAGAAAGGGAAGTGTACCAACTAATACATGCAGAACATGTGATGATAATACATGTAGAACATGTGATGATGATAAAATCCATGGGATGAGGGGTATAATTTTTTGAATGGTGGGAGTAAGATGCTCAGTGGACCTTTTTTTTTTTTTTTAAGATTATTTATTTTAGAGAGAGGGTACAAGGGGGAAGTGGGAGAGAGGGAAAGAGAGCAAGAATCTCAAGCAGACTGCCCTCTGAGCGTGCAGCCCAACACGTGACTCGATCTCACAATGCTAAGATCATGACCTGAGCTGAAATCAAGAGTTGGGCGCCTGACCAACTGAGCCACCCAGGCACCCTCAGTGGACCTTCTCCTTAACAAAACAACCATTTCACTGAAGTTTAAATAATCATCGAAAGTACCTGGGAATTATTCTAAGGGGATACAGAAAATAGGGAAACAGTTATTCAAGAAAATCTCTTGAGAAGAATAGCAAGAATCTGTAGCATTGGAGCCACAACTTTTACTCCACTCCCCACAGCTGCCAGTGTAGGGCTGTGGTTCCACCATAAGAAGGGCAGGCTATTGGCATTGATTATCTTGCCTAGTTATATTTTACAGAAGTTCTATTCTAAGGCAGACGTGGTAGAACAGACTCCCTTATCCTGCACGGTCTAATCATAGGGCTGAAGCTTTACTTTAGGCATGGCAGTCTGAGGATACTGAAGTTCAGATTACTCCCATTGCAGCTTACTCTGTCATAAGATGGATATTCTGTGCCTAGAGGGACAAACTGAGAAAATCAGGGGCTATTATCATTTTCCACATACCAGCACCACTCATAGAGCTAGAGGTATCACCCTGGGAGAACCTGCTTGCTATGTTGTCACCAGCTCCTGGGCAGTGGCACAGAAGTTCTGCCCAGAGGGAGAGACAGGCTGTGAGGACGAAGAGCTCAGCAGTTAGGTTTGAAGGGGTTGACCTTATTTGGACCAGAGCATACCATTCCTGAGAGCATTATTAAAAGCAGTGGAAATTTTGGTGAAGAGCAATTAAGAGGGAGCTTGTAGTTCCGTGTACTCATATTAACCAGCGAAACTGCAGAGCACCCAAAAGTTTAACAGATCTAGATAAAGACAGCCAAGATGAGCCCTCCTGGGAACACCGTCAACCCTGGGGGGGGTCACAAATGTTCTGCACATTCATTAGATTGCACCCACTTTGAAGCAATCAGAGCAAGACATGGACAAGTTGAAAACATTCTTCAGTTCACACACCAATCCATCAGCAAAGGTTGTAAGCTTCACTGGCTCAAGGACTTAAATTCAACTTCTGACTAAACACTGGGTGAATTACAGGTTACCGTGACCCAGGGGCAACTCCTAGGGAGCCAGGCTTAAAAGTAAAATTGTATCCCTTTTAAAAGTAAAAGGAGGGGCGCCTCGGTGGCTCAGTCGTTAAGTGTCTGCCTTCGACTCAGGTCATGATCCCAGGGTCCTGGGGTTGAGCCCCGCATCGGGCTCCCTGCTCTGTGGGAGGCCTGCTTCTCCCTCTCATGCTCCCCCTGCTTGTGTTCCCTCTCTCGCTGTGTCTCTCTCTAAATAAAATCTTAAAAAAAAAAAAAGTAAAAGGAATAAAATATATCAGAATAAAATAGAATAAAATATAACAGAAAGACTTTCATGCCTAAGACTACCCTCAGGAGTGATGAGGAAGAAAACATCTCAGGTACTACTAGTCCTTG